AAATTGCTTTTGCAGAGCCGGTGCAATTGCCTACAACGTTGAGCTACAAATCGAATTCTGGCAGCGCAGAGAGTCCGTTTTCTTCGTCACCCACCAACAGCACGAGTGCGTCCCCCTGCTCCGGACTCCCGTTGGGCATGTCGAACATGCTATTATCCTTGCCGAACAGCAGCAACAGCAACAACAACAGCAGCAGCAGCAGCAGCAGCAGCAACAACGCCAATTGCATTGGCAGCAACAGCAGCACTCCGCTAAATGGCGAGCGTCCGCCGTTCCGGGCGCCCACCAAGCAAGAGCTAGTTGAGTTCCGCAAGCAAATCGAGGCTGGCAATTATGAGCGGGTCAAGCGTACAGTTTGGGACAACCCCCGCTATTTGATCAGCAGCGGGGACACGCCGACTAGCTTGAAGGAGGGCTATCGCTACAACGCCATGCACATCTGTGCCCAAGTCAATCAGGCACGCGTCGCTGAGCTCATTCTGAAGATAGTCTCGGATCGCGAGTTTACACAGTTGTATGCGGGCAAGAAGAGCAGCAGCGAAATGTGCGCCGCTCTAAATGTGAATCTGCTCGATTACTATCTCAACATGCCCGACAAGGGGCGTGGCGAGACGCCGCTGCACTTCGCCGCCAAGAACGGGCACATTGCCGTTGTTGAAGTGCTCACCTCGTATCCGCAGTGCAAGTCGCTGAAGAACACGGAAGGTATGCACCCCAAGGACGTAAGTAACCCATTGGAGTATGCTCTTGTATACTTGCTTAACGGCTTTCCTCCAATCAGATTATCTGCCAACGGGCACCCAACGCCAGCTTAGTGGTGATCAAGAAGCTGGAGCTCCTCCTGTCGGAGCCACACTATGTGCCCGTTCTACGCGCTGTAGGCAACCAACTGCCACCGCAAGTTGGACATCCCTTTACGCCCAATGATCCGCCGGTTAGTGTTGTTGTTGTTGCCGAGTCACTTGCAACTCTAATCAAATATAAATTCTCCAAATTCATAGATTTTGCAGCACAAGACCGACGAGTCGGACCGCCTGAATGTGGACCTTAAAATTAGCGCCTTGGCTGGGCCTATGCCGCGTGAGCAGGCCATGAACTTCTTTCGCCGCTGGAAGACGCCGCCGCGTGTTGGCAGCAATGTGGCCTCGCCGTTGGCCAACTCAAGCTACATCTCGCCCATGAAGTCGCCGACCAAGGCATTTCTCAACGAAAGCTCTGGCATTGTGTCGAGGCGGCGCGCGTTGTTCAGCCCACGAGCCGCGGCGTTAAATGCATCGCTCAACGAAGCCAACGGAAATCACAAGGCCCAACAAGAGGAGGGCCAACTGCCCAACACCGATGTGGACCCCATTGAGCACAACAATAATTGCACGTATAACAGATGCGGCATGCCCTCAACGCCCATACGTCAAATGAAACCGGACTTGTTTTTAAAGTATCGCGACAACTCCGCGTCTCCGATTATTATGGATTCATCACTGGACGTAGCCGAGCTGAGTCTGAACATGTCCGTGTCCACATTGAACGACAGTTTCCGCGAGCGTCACATCAAGAACTCGGACATTGAGAAAGGCCTTGAGGTGGTCGGTCGACAGCTGGCGCGCCAAGAGCAGCTGGAGTGGCGCGAGTATTGGGACTTTCTCGATGCGTTTGTCGACATGGCCTCCGCGGATGGTCTTCGCCGTCTAGAGAGCTATCTGTCTGCCAAGCACGAGCTGGCGCAAGCCTCCATGCTGGCGGAGAAATCACACCAGGCGTGGAACTTTTCTGAAATTCGTCAGTATTTAGGCTTAGTGGCTGACCGACCGAAATCCAACAATTCTGAATCCCCTTGTGTCTCCATTACGCAAGTAATGACGCCGTACACCTGTGTGGAGAAGTCGCTGCAGGTGTTCGCGAAACGAATCACCAAGACGCTCATCAATAACATTGGAAACATGGTGTCCATCAATGACACACTGCTCTCCGAGCTCAAAAGACTGAAATCCCTCATCGTGAGCTTCAAGGACGACGCACGCTTCATAAGCGTTGACTTTGGCAAGGTGCACTCGCGCATCGCTCACCTCGTAGCCAGCTACATAGCCAACTCACAGGAAGTCAGCCCCCAGCTGCGCAACCAGTTGACGCAGATGCTGCGCAAGATGCTGCAGCTGAATGGCGAGCGACGCGAGCACTTACACTGCGTCTGCGACAGCATGCTGCTTGTGCTGGAGCAGGCCCCGACTGTCAAGCTGCCGGACGCACTGAAGACCGAGGAGCTGTGCTCTGCCGCCTGGGAGCTGGAGCAGTGCTGCAACTGTCTGTGGGATGCGAATCTCAGCCGGAAGACGAGCAGGCGAAAGCGTACCGAATCGTTGCGGGCCCAAGCGCAGGACTTTGCCAATGCCACCACAATGCTGGCCTCGGCCGCAGTCGCTCTTCAGAGCGCTGCCGCGCCCAATGCGGATGCCGTTGTGGCCACTCCCGATGTGAACTCCTGGCGCAGCAACGATAATGATGATGATAATGATGATGACGACGACGATGCCAACGATGATTCCTTCTTTGTAAGTGCTTGATACATCTGAATATATCTGAACAGGTGTTTATTCTAACGGCCTTCACTAATCCTCAGTTCGAATGTGGTGGTGGTGAGGACAGCAGCGATGATGAGGAGGTATTTCTGACGCCACCCGAAAGCCGATCGCCCATATTGTCGTCTGATGTGGATCCTCCCTACGAGCTTTTCATCTTTGGGTAAATTTTAAACCTGACATTTGAAATATTGAGATGCTAAATGAGCTGTTCAATCCATTGCAGCAAGGAGCCAACCAAGCGAGATTTAGATGTGCTCAACGCTATTTTCCACGTGGACATCGATAAGGAGACGCTGCCATTCGTTCATGCCTGGCAAACAGCCATGGAAAACTTCTCTTCTGCCGAGATGGATCTGTGAGTAGCAACTAGAGTCGACTGAAAGCACAACTAATCCATTGCCCTGTCCGTTTGCAGCTTCCCCTCCCCGAAGAATGTGCAAAAGTTGCATAAGCCATCGCATTTAATCGGCACCCCGCCCAATTCGATGAGCAGCTCAGCCAATTGTAAATCCAGCAGTATTCTGAATGACAGCGATCCGGTGGTTCAGCCGAAACGTCTGTTCGCGTTCGCCACGCCCAAGATAAACGCAGCGGCCTTGCGTCGACAGACTGCCGGAACACCGACGACTCCTCCGAAGTCGGCACGATCGCAGCGAGTGCCAGACAAGTCGTGGCAATTGGCTACCTCATCGCCAAAACAGACCTCATCGCCATTACCGTCGTTTGCCTCCCTTGCTATGGCTACCGTGCATCAGAAACTTACTGTGGCCTCCGTATCACAGTCATTCCAAACGCCTCTAAACAAAATGCGCGGCATTTTCAGCAAGTATCGCGAGGTTAGCCAGGATACCAGTCCGATGCCAGTGTCGCCGGGCTATGTCAACAACCGGTCGCTCTCTTTGGAAGAGAGCGACTGATTATTTGAATATGCGTAAAATACTTAAAACAGGATCCGAGCAGTTGCATGACGAACTGCCGATTATWATTATTTTATTAGTCTTGATTGTTGCCTGCCTTTAGAGATACATTATTTTAAAAAATCAATAAAATGTTAGTGAAACATCAAGTATATTTATTAAGTCTAAGTGCTCTCCTTTATTTCATGTTTTGTTAGTTCGAAATTACACAGTTCCGTAGCTCTTAAGGCAGGCAATACTCAAGTTGCATAATACATTTTTTTTTTTTAATGTAATTTTTTAAACAAAACAAAATGAAGCTAATTACAGTAATGCAGTTTTTTATATTGTGTGTGAATAAAGCGAAATATTTAATTCATAAATGTGAAACTATTTTATTTATAATGGCACGGTACTCAAGATTGTGTTCTGTTTAGAAGTGGGAAAGGTTTCTTTTGAAGGGGGCATCTACATATGTTCCTAAATGTTCTACAGCAACTGCAGCTGCTTATGCTACGCTCCGTAATTTGGGAGTTAGCTAATTTTATTTTTTTTTTTTTTTTAATTTTTGTTGACCACATTTAGCATTACTCTGTGGCTAATCCTCTTGAATGATAAATATTTCTCCTTAGAGTACCATAGGACATCATGTTGTATTTTTTTACTAAAATCAAATTTATTGATGATGACACTTTATGCTTATTCATTGGTATCTGTCAGGAAATGCTTACTGTGTACTACAGAAATCGACAATCAAGTATTTTTGTTTCATACATCAACAGCTCGAGTACATTTTCATAGATCTGTCTAAAATACTTTTCTACTCTCTGAACTTTTATAGTGTAACGTATTTTCCCCAGTACCGGTTTGTTCTTCATAAAATTGCTACTAGTTTAGCTGGTGAATATGTTTGGTGGTAGAACCAAGTGCCTATTCTTGGCAAAAAATTATTTGTGCTCTCACCGCAGCCCGATAAGATGCCATCTCCAATTGGTAAGATCAGCTGCAGTACCCGATATGAATTCAATATAGGCTGACTCTTACAGCAGCGCAACTTTAGGGTGGCCGTTATTGGTGCCTCCGGCGGCATTGGCCAGCCGCTGTCGCTGCTAATGATGAAAGACCACCGGATCAAGGACCTCAGGCTGCACGACGTCCAGGGCGTGAAAGGTGTGGCCGCCGACCTGTCACACGTGTCCGCGCCGGCCTCTGTGCGGGGCATGCAGGGACCCGAGGAGATCGAGAAGGCTGTGGAGTGCTGCGACGTGGTAGTGATTACGGCCGGCCTGGCCCGCAAGCCAGGCATGACCCGCGAACAGCTATTCGAGGTGAATGGAAACATTGTCATGGCTACGGTGACTGCGATTGCCAAAAAGTCACCCGGAGCCATGGTCGTGATCGTCACGAACCCCGTCAATGCAATAGTCCCGATGGCCGCCGAAGTTCTCAGACAGCATAAGGTCTACGATCCGAAGCGATTGTTCGGTGTCACCACACTGGATTGCGTGCGCGCCGAGAGATTCATCGGCGACTATCTGAAGATCAGCCCCACCAAGGTGAAGATACCAGTCATTGGTGGACATGCCGGTACAACGATTTTACCCATTATGTCGCAGTGCCAGCCTCCTTTGAACGCCAGCCAGGAGTGCATTGAATCGATGATCAAGCGCATCCAGAACGGTGGCGAGGAGATCATCAAGGCCAAGGAAGGCAAAGGATCCGCCACCCTGTCCATGGCCTTCGCCGCGCATCGCTTCGTCGACGTTTTGCTCAAGGGCCTCAAGGGTGAGAAAACGCCCTTGGAGTGCGCCTACGTTGAGTCGAACGTGACCGACGCCTGCTTCTTCGCAACGCCTCTCAGCTTCAACAAGAACGGCATCGCCAAGAACCACGGACTGCCCTGCCTCGACAAGTCCGAAAAGGAGGCCCTCAAATCGGCTGTGAAGCAGCTCCAGCAGTCGATAGAGCTGGGCATTAATCACGTGAAGTGTAAAAAGTAAAATCAATTTTAAATAGATTAGCATTATAACTTTGCTCATTTCAAACTGATTTTCCATGTTATACGTGGCAATTCGTGTTAGTATGTGTGTATGTGTGTGCTTGGCGCATATCTATGTATGTGGAGTGGTTGGGTGGCTCTGACCAAGGCTCTGGCTTGGCGGCAGCTGTTGCGACTAAAAGCGAAATTACAACAACAAATTGCTGGCAGAAAGCGTGGCAAGCACAGCACACACACAAGCACACACACACAGAAGACCATAAAAGCAATTACCATTAATCACACGCATACACACAGCATAGAAACGCACTCACGCACACACTCACTCATACACATACTCACAGGGTCTTCTCTGGCAGATCGTCTGGCACATTCACAAAAAAAGAATTGGGCTTGCGAGCTTCGTGTTCTTATTCTTGCTGCTTCGCTTAATACTTACACACACACACACACACATATGTACGCACTGACCGAACCTACAACGAGTTTCAGTTGGCCGGTTTAGCTCTGCGATTGCGAACTGCGAATGAGGAGAACAAAAAAAAAAAAAAACTAAAAGGCTCAGGATTCGGTTTCAGTTCAGCGTGGACTTCTTATTGGATTTCTTATTTATAAGCGTGCAGATGGCGGTGGCGTTGATTTTTGTCAACCGGCGCGGCATTGAAGCCAACAAATTGTTGCAATTGCCCCTACCTGTGCCCCATTTCCCTCCGTCGGCTAACTTTGCGAGGCTTTTGCATTTTTTTTCGCTTTTTACGCTCGATTCTCGTTTTGCGGAACGTTTTGCAGCCAGCTTCTCGCAACGGTTTGACAAATGATCGCTGATAAGAAAAAGTTCGCTCATTGAATAAAAAAAGGACAACATAAATTGCAGGCGAACAAATTTATTAGCGGATGACCGAAGCTTTGATGCACTCGAATTGATTGATTTTATATCATAAATAGAAATATGACCTATTGGCTTCATGGGAACTATTTGAGATGACTAATTCAATACACTGAACGTTGAAGATGGCACATAAATATTTAAGGCATCTATTGCAGGCAGATTGACTAAGAATATTGCGGAATATTGGTGTTGACTAATTCCCGTCCGTCTGCCTGTCTCTCCGTATGAATGTGGTTCCTTTGGAATGCATACTCGTATATAACCTCGTCTAAGAACGTGGCAGGATTTTATTACCTATCGGATTTGACTATATTGCATTTTACATGAATATTTAGGGCTTCTATTTTATTTTATTTTTATTTTAAAATTAAATTATTGATATTCACTATTTATTTGGTCAAGATTGAAGATTTGCTAAATCGGATAAATCTAGATTCTTCAATTTTTGGAGCTGACGGTGTTCAGTACTTTGCAGTCCGTTACGCMCATCGCCTACGTTCTTTCATATTAGCGATTGGTAGTCTATAGGAGTGTTTCGTATATCTGTGATGTAGGCTCACAATGCTAGCCAGGGTAACTACTCTATAAAAGCCTATCAGGGAAAGTATATTGGTATTCTTAAAATATCCACATTCTGAAGCAGTTTTAAGAAATGCGTTACAAATTGGTTAATAAAGCGTTCAGGCTCTTCCTCAGAGTACATCGATATGTAAGTCTGAAGGCATTTGCCCTAAGTGGGTCGCGTAATTGCAGGCGGTTAGCTGTAGTTGGGGCCACTCCACAGCGCTAATCCTTGCGAGTGTCCTAGTGCAGCAGCAGCTGTAATAGAGATCGGGAAATTGCAAATTGCAAATTAGTGATTAATTGGATGGGGCTGCAGTGCTGGGAGCCGATTGTGCGAACGAGTGCCGAACGAGAGCTGAGCGAGAGACGAGGAGAGCTGGTCGCTGGCGCCAAATTGAAACTCTAGATGACAGAGGACTGCAAATGCGGAGGTCCTCTCAGGCTGCAGGCAGCGCTGCACTTATCTGGCGAACGGAATCAGGGTCATCTCGTGATCGCCAGCCCTTTTGTTCGAGGCTCAGTTCTCCTTGCGGCTCTCGTCTGTCTGTGAAGCTGCGCTGAAACTTGAAACCACTTCATTTGTGCTTCGAGCCGGAGCTCTGGCTCTTTAGCTATAGCTGTAGCTGTAGCTGTAGCTGTAGCTGTAGCCACTTGGCCAGACAAACAAAGCGCCGTCCGCTCCATGGCCGTGTCAGGAGTTCACACAAAACTTGTGAACTTCTTGGCTCGGTTTGTGTGTGAGTGGGTTAGTTGGTTCTTTAAATTTGTTGTTGTTTGCTTTTTGGTTTCGGCGCCGCCGGAAATCGCGCAGACTACGGACCAATTAGACCGGCAGCAGCTGCCGGCCGACCCACTCTAATAACAGCCCGAGCACTTGGGACGATCGTGGCTGGCGCCATTTTGAAGGAGCGCGGGCAGAGCAGCAGTTGCGCTCTTCCGCCCTGCCACGCACCCCTATGCTGTGGCTTGATGCGACTAGGTCAGGCCAGGCTAGAATCGACCAGACCACCCCAGAAGGGGCGGCAGTACAACAGGACATTACGGTAAACGTTAATGAGGTATCAAGATAAGCAAATGCTACATACGCTCGCGCTTAATCAATGCTTTTTGGGGTCAATCAAAGTCAGCGCACTAATGCATAAACAATGAAAGGCTTTTAGCGCGACAATAGCTGAAAATGACCACAACAGACGGTCGGCTGTACTCAAAAGCGACTGCGCTGGTGCCCAGTTGATTAGTTGCAAAGGTAGCGCGGCACGCTGCAGGGTTCGGCTCCCGAGCTATGTTTCTGAAACGAAAATGCCGTATGAGAAAACGGATCACACGGCTGTGATGACAACGCGGCAACGGCTGATTGAGACCTTGGTCATCTTTCGGCGCAGTCTCATTTACCAGACGAAGGAGTTTTTCCAGAACTCCACACTGCACGGCGTGCGCTACATTGCGGAGACGGGCCGGCCCATTGGCGAGAAGTTCATGTGGTTCTGCTTCACCTCGATTGGCGCTGTCACCGCTCTGGTGATTATCATGAGCCTGTGGGAGAAGTTCCAAACGAATCCCACCATCACCGGCCTCGACACGGACTTTCACAATCAGAACGTTGTCTTTCCCACTACGGTGGTGTGTCCGGCGACGGCTTATGATCATGCAAAAGCATATGAAGAGGTCTACAAGTCCCTCGCGTAGGCTCATAAACGTCCTAGCTGCAATCAGACTGCCCTTTAATTCAGCTCCACTCGCTTTTCAGCAACTATGACGCGGAAAAGGCTCAGCAGATTACCCCCTTTTTGGATCAGCTTACCTCGCTCAACTTTGACAACATCCGAGAGGCGGAGAAGCTAGCAGAGGGCATACCCGCGGAGCTGCTGGCGGAGCACACCTTGCGCGAATGGGCCTTTCGGGCGCAAATTCCGTGCGAGAGTACGCTGATTTCCTGCAAGTACCGGGATGAGGATATCGTCTGCTGCGATCACTTTCACCCCATTTACACGGAGCACGGCTTTTGCTATGCCTTCAACAGTCGCTTCATGTCAACGGCAACAGAGGAGTAAGTCCCTCACACCAGTTATGCCCTAGTCAGTAGACATTCAATCGGTATTTCAGCTCTAAGACTGGCCCACCGCACGACCTCTATGAAACGGACAAGAAGTGGGCCCTCTTCTTCCTGCCCAACAGCACCTCTCGGGTGAGTTCGCTTCCCTGTGTGCGGGTTAGTATTGACTGTTGTTGCCACGCAGATATTTATTTTCTCGAACGAGGAGTACTTTGGATCAGACTTCAATGCCCAAATCGACTGGACCGACGATCAGCTGGTGGAAGTGCGCATCTCGAAGAAGAACACCTACACCACAGATGATGCACGCCAGCTGTCGATTGGCCAGCGTAAGTGCATCTTTCGCGACGAGGTGAAGCTGAACTACTTTCCAGATTCCTATACCTTCTCGTCCTGCATGAAGCAGTGCCGCATGACCAAGGCCATAAAGCTGTGCAAATGCAATCCGTCCTTCTACAAGCCCATCAGTAAGTCACACCGTCACTAATGAAGTCAGAATTATCGGACGTGATGTTCTTTTTCCATTAGACAACGTGCCTATGTGTACGGTCAAGGACTTTGCCTGCCTCAATGAATACAAGCTGAACATAACCAACATCAAGGACTGCCTGCAGTGCGAGCTGAGCTGCTCCAAGACGGTTTTCAACATAGACAAGCTCATGAAATTGTAAGGTCTGCCCAAAGGGCCAATGAATCTCCTTCTATTTTATAATGACTTTACATTCACTTCCACTACTCCAACCCCAAAAGCATGGATCGCGCCGAAGCGTCCGGCGTCCTGGTAGAGTTCCTCACCTGGCCCATCATTCGCTACAAGCGTGAGGTGCTCTTCGGCTGGGTGGATCTGCTTGTCTCCTTCGGCGGCATTGCCAGCTTGTTTCTGGGCTTCTCGCTGCTCTCCGGCGTAGAGATCATCTACTACTTTACGCTACGCGCCTGCTGCATGGTCTATAAGAACAGGGTAGGCTACTGTCTGGCTCTGCGTAATATTTATTGACGTTTGCCGTTCCCCCTATGCAGCAAGAGCTGTACGAAATCGAGCAGCGCATCCGGCACGAGCCGCCCCCAGCCATTGATCTAAAGCTGAAGCTGAAGTCTCACTCCAAGCCGGCGAATAGTCCCAACAGCTCAGCCGTGCTGCAGGTGCAGCCGGCGGATGCACAAAGTGCGGATCTGTTCAGCATGTCCCGTCAGCGGAAGAACGAAAAGGTGAGTCTGCCTCATAAATCCTCTCCATTAGCTATAGCTATTGGTGATTGTCTTCTAGGACTACCTGAACTACTCGAAGAGCTTGTATCGCACGCCCAAAGTGCTGCCTGACCACGGATACGCCAGCAATAAGGACAAGTGGCAGTTCGACCATGGACAATATCTACCCTGAGACCCCAACCAACTCTCCCAAGACGACTCCACGACAGCATGTACCCCACACAATTGATTAGGACAATGTGAACTTTGAGCAACCGATATTACGATATCCAAAAATCCATACAAAAATACAATATATATTATACTTTTTTTTTG